CGTTCGTTAACAGAAGCGTTCGTAACCCGAGGTTCCACTGTATAAGGCTTAGGATCCAATGTGGTGGAACAACAGAATATCTGTTGCAAAGCGGTTCATGTAAAGTTTTCCAGTGGATTCAGACTCATCCCCACCAATTTATCAATCCCATCCTACATAGTTTATTTGGTAATTAATGGATTTAGAGTTGCAATTAACTTTGCTTTCATCCGTTTTCATGTTTAGATCATCCAAGTGTCTGGCTTTATGATGCTCCACAAAATTTGGCCTCGTGTAGAAACTTTCTCCGCAGTACACACATTTATAGGGCTTCCCTCCAGCGTGAGTTTTCTGATGGGTGATAAGATTCGAACTTAGATTGAACCTTTTCCCACACTCAGAGCACTGATACGGTTTCTCTCCGGTGTGGGTCCTCTGATGCCTAATAAGGCCAGAGCTACACGTGAAGCTCTTGCCGCAATGGGAACACTCATACGGTTTTTCCCCTGTGTGGGTTCTCTGGTGTACGTTGAGCTGCGAACTCACGCTGAAGAATTTGCCACACTCGGAGCACTGGTACGGCTTCTCTCCTGTATGAGTTCTCTGGTGTGCAATAAGATTGGAGCTCAGGATGAAAGTTTTCCCACAGTCCGCACAGTTGTATGGTTTTTCCCCCGTGTGAATTCTCTGGTGGCGGATGAGGCCAGAGCTACAAGCGAAGGTCTTGCCACAGTCCACACAGTCAAACGGCTTTTCTCCATGCAATTTCTGGTGGGCCATGAGACTAGACCTCAGATAAACCCTTTTGGGACAGGCAGAACATTTATAAGGCTTCGTACCTGTGTGCATTCTCTTATGGGCATGAAGGCTTGATCTCACACTGAAGTTCTTCCCACAGTCTGAGCATTCGTATGGTTTCTCTCCCGTATGGGTCCTCTGATGCACACTGAGTTGTGAGCTCACACTGAAGGTTTTGCCACAATCAGGGCATTCATAGGGTTTCTCCCCCGTGTGTGTCCGCTGGTGTCTGCTGAGGCTCGAACTGCAGCTGAAGGATTTCCCGCAGGCAGCACAACTGTATGGTTTGTCTTCCGTGTGGATCCTTTGATGCCGAATGAGGCTGGAGCTGCAGGTGAAATTTCTCCCGCAGTGGGCACAGTGATAGGGTTTCTCCCCAGTGTGGATTCGTTCGTGGGCAATGAGGTTGGAGCTCTGGCTGAAACTTTTCCCGCACACTGAGCAAGTGTAGGGTTTCTCTCCTTTGTGGGTTCGCCCATGTGCAATCAGGGCTGATTTCTGGCTGAAACTTTTCCCACACTCAGCACACCTGTAGGGCTTTTCTCCTGTATGGATTCTCTTGTGGGCAACCAAGCTAGATTTCAAACTGAAGGTCCTCCCGCACTCCGGGCAGGCGTAGGGTTTTTCTTCTGTGTGGATCCGCTCATGGGCAATGCGGCTTGAGGTCTGGCTGAAACTTCTCCCGCACACACAGCATTCGTACGGTTTCTCCTCTGTGTGAATTCTCTGATGCGTAACAAGAGTCGATTTCTTACCAAAGCTTTTCCCGCAACAATGGCACTTATACGGTTTTTCTCCAGTGTGGATTCTCTCATGAGCAATAAGGTTGGAGCTGTTACTGAAGCTTTTCCCACATCGGCTGCACACAAGTCGCCTTTTGCAATCATCTGCCTTGTTTTTATTGCCTGCTCCGTAAAGAAGGGGCTGAATCACATTTTCTCTCACCTGTCTTTCGAATTGTAGTCCGTTTTTCAAATTCTCTTCCTCCTTCAGAGTATGGAAAACTGATTTGCTTAAAAATTTCTTGCATATGCCTAGTTGTCGAGAACTATCTGAGCTGGGAATTGCCTTCTCCTCTTCCTCTTGAGCCTTCTGTCTTTGAACTACAGAAACAACAATTTAAAAAGTCAAGTGATTACCCCGTATATATGAGGAGAAGGACTTTTTTCACTCTTATAACAAAATTGAAGCCACTTGGATACAATAGCAAGATACCTTTTCAAAAGATGGGCCCTATTTCACAATTGCATACAATATTGTTGCGGCCTAATATCTTTTAAAAATGCAAACAAATAGTGGGATCTGCAGGGGATGGTAAAAAAAAAAAAAGGCAGTTGCAATGGTGTGATTGCAACCACCATCTTGACTTTTTTGACCCCCCTTGTAGATACCCTATAAATAAATAAATTTTTAAAATGTAAACAGGCGAATTTTTCAATGGTCCAAATTTCATGAAATCTCATGGGAGAATATAGAGCTCCTGCAAACTTTGGGCTATATCATGGCATTTGGGACATTTAGAAAAACATTTGTTTCTAAAATAACTGAAAATAAAAGGAAAAATACTCTAAATCACATGACAGTATCTGGGTGAACCTGTCTAGACTCAGAAACGAAGCAAAGTCAGGTCTTATTAGTAACGGGATGAGGGAAGTGAAACAACACGGAAAAAGGACATTGGAAGCCATTTCCGTATTGTTACCAAAGAAAATTAAGTCGACAAGCCCAGTTTGAAGGAAATGTTACTGATTTCATGTATTCATTTCTTCAGTTAATTATTTATGTAATTTTGGGGCCTCCTTGAGATGGCCCGGATATGCCACCATCACTTTGCCCAAGTGTGTCACGTGAATCTTGGAAACTACAGTAGTCTATAACATTTACTCACTTGCTATTTGTTTTAATTAATGGTCTGTATTGTCTTCCAGTAGTAATGTATGGCTGTGAGAGCTGAACCATAAAAAAGGCCGAGCGCCGAAGAAT